CATTTTAATTTTCTTTGACTTTATCTATTTTTTAATTCTTTTCACCTGCCTTTCTTTATGAAGTAGCGAGGCGGTTTCTATTTAGATAATGAATTTTTATAAAAGTTCTTTACGACAGAATAAACGTATTGCGGTTTTATATTAACTGTGTCATTTCGGAATCCATTCTTTACATAGTTGTTCATTTACTTTAGGGAACACGCGAAAAATTATACTTTTTCCTTTTGTTTTTATATCAGAATTTTTGCAAGTTGCAATCGCGCAAACTGGCATTTCGATAATAGTTTTAAATTCTTGTAAATTAACTACAAAAACTGAGGAAAGTCATTATAGAAAATAACAAATGTCTTAGAATATGTCACCCAAAAAAAATATGCTCCAATATTAGTTTGAGCTAGCAAGAGCTCCAATATTAGTTTGAAGCACAACTGCGAGCTTTGCGCCAAAGTGACGTCTCTAGAGAAAATCGGAGGATTGGCTCGGCGAAAGTTTCTTCAAAGGAGTGAACCAGTCTTCTATTCTCTTTAGCCCTGATTAAAATGGCTGATATGTATTAAATAACAGTTAATCAATTTATAAAATAGTTTTTTTTTCTTTTTCGAAATGGAATAAAGTAAATTTCTTACCTCTTTCGGGGAAAGTATGGACACATAATCTTCATAGATACTTCTTGCTTTTTCTTCAACAATTTCTGGATTTTTCTCTCGTTTGAGGTCTTCACATGCTTGCCAGAACAGTATATTTTCTTCACTGTACTCAAGTCTCAGAAATTCTCGAAATATTTGCCGTCCAGCTAAATTTTTTTTCAAAAAAAAAAAGAAACACAAAATATAATGATCGTTATATATCATTGCTCTAATTTAATAATATTTCTATTAAATTAGAGCAATGGGATCCCCTTCGAAAGAGATTATGCAAGAAAAAATTATACTTAAGACAAAGAAATTGGACACAAGAATGAGTATTCTTTTCGTTTAGATAGCGATGTCCGATGCGCAAATATTGAACTTTTTGTACATAAAACAATTATAATTTCTAAATTATTATATTTATGGTCTCAAACCTGGTTTTATTCCATTTAGTGTAAAAATTTATATTGAAAACAACTTATTGTTTGTAGCAATATTTAAGTTTCTCTGCCCACATTAACCACTTCCCCTTCCCCCCCCAAATTACTACATGGATAACTACTTTTACCACTTACTAAGGTTGTATACTGAGAAAATTTTCCCTAAATAAAACTTCTTTCTTTTCTCTCTTAATGTCAGGTTTAAACCCAATTTTTTATCAGACTACGCTGTAGAAAAATTCCGAATGAACATATTGTAAAAAAGTACTGGCTTTCAAGGTGCTGGCCCCTTTTACAGTAAAATCTATTTTTGCTAATTAAAACTAAATTAACTTAATTTTTGTTACTATTCAAATTTACTGTAAAATCTAATATTTCTTGATATAAACCAAATATCGGGGATTTTTCTTATAGTGTTTTGCACTTTAAAAAAGTTCCGGATGAAATTATGCTAAAAAGTTGCGAAACAAAATATTCTGATATACCTCAATTTTTACAGTAATAATTACCTTAATCACTGATTGCTCTATTTATATAAATATTACTGTAAAAATTATCGTATCGTATTTTACGGTAAAAAAGGATTTTACGTATGATGCACCCAAAATGTCGGTAATCTCTACCGTAATTTGATCTGGAATTTCTTATAGTGCATACTTCATGTTCCATAAGACAACTATCGAACGTTGCTTACTTAATGTTTCATGCTTAAATGATATATTGACCAAAATTTAATACTTTTTATGAAAGTTTTTTTTTAATAGTAGTTGTAAAAAATGTGAAGTAAAAATATGAATGTATTTACAAACGTTTCAGTAGGGATATCAAGTCTTTTGTAAATATGTTTTTATTGCTTATTCGCATAAAGGTCGAAATAAATTATTAAACCAAGAATCAAGTAATAACATTTTGCTCTCAAAAGTTTATTATCCGGGTATAAAAGAGAGAAATTCCATCGTAACAGACTAACAGTTATGAATTTTGAAGCATTCATTCAAGCATGACAGTAATTAATAAAAAACAGCTTCAAAAGATGTTGTTGTGACAGACAAATGTCCCGCTTTTTAATAAACTTATATTGAAGCTTATTGCATATTTAATTGTAAAAATAATGAGAAAATTGTGGAAATTTTATTGTAAAATTGTGGAACGGAACAAATCGAGATCAAAACTTGTTTCACACAAAATCGAGAGTTCATTACAGGCTGTACTTAAATTTAAATTCTTTGTAATGAAGAAAAAGCTTACACCATTTCACGCGTACACTACGCAAATCACTTTCGTTTTCAAAAACACCAATGTTGTTCCATTTCAGATATCGTTAGCAGTTTTTTAAGAGTTTTCTTCTAGACGTCAACAGCTGCAAAAATTCATCGTTGAAATATGTATACATGTTTTTTGATGCATATTAAAGATGTTTACACTTTAATTTTTAAATCTCTCTGATTATCTAATTTTATAACGTCTAATTTCTATCCGCTTCGCATCTGTTAAGCCTAATTCGAATTCGTTTTAATATTCTCTCTGTGCTACGTACATGTTTGATTTAGAAACTAATTATAATTATATTAGTGTATATATGCATCCTAAATTATTGATTCTTACTTTATATTGTTACTTTATATTGCAAAAATACTTTTACTGATTCGCATGTGTATTTCATCTTACAGTGTAAATTTTAATTTGATAATAATTATACATTTTATTGCTTCTGAATACTAAAAACGGTGGCAGCTGATTTTTACACCAAATAGTGTTAAAGAACATTCCTAGTGTTTTACTATGCTGCACTGTAACAAAAAATGGTGTACAATTACCACCAGTTTTAACAATTTTATAAAATTGACGAACGAACAATTGTTTGAAGGAATTAGAGCAAATATATTAATAAAAATGTGCTTGTTTTTTAAATAAAATATTTTTGTAATAAAGCCATGAATTAATTCTAATACGCGTAAAAATGTACTTCATCAGAAAACAAAAAAAAACAAAAAAAACAATAAAATACGTAAAATTCTAACAGAAGAAATAATACTGTGGTTGAGATTTCACGATATAGTCATATAGTTGGTAACAGGGAAGAAATCTTAAGACCAGGAAGTCAACTGGAAGTTCGTATTACAATTTCCTATAAAGAGTGTATTAATTCTAAAAATGGTACTTATTTGTGAAACTAGTTCCGTTTTGCGATAAAAACAAATGAACTTTTCCCCTCCCTCCCCCCAAGAAAAGGAATTCATTTTATGAAGTTAGACACGATGCTTTACATTCGACATAATGTTCTTATCGTTTTAGGAGTTTTTGGAAGCTTGGGGTCCTACAGAAGTAGAAACTATTTCAATAAAGAATTGGAGTTGGTAGCAAAATTTTCCATAAGTAGATAGTTTCTAAGAAAAAAATTCCCATTGCGAACACAACATATTTGTAATTCAAAGTTTATTTAGGTTTATTTTACATTTACTGGGTATAAATCATCATTTTAAATCGATAATTCAAAAGAATATCCTCTTGTAATAAAATTATGTATTTGATTTTGTAATCAAAAGTTCATGCTCCAAATCAAGTCATTCCAAAAGCTTTTGCCCAATTTGAAATTAAAAGAAGTATTGCATATTTTAATAGTAAACAATAATCATTCATCTCTAATGTGATGTCCCTCATTTTGTATATCTTTCTTTCAACATTTTTGAATTCATTCTTTGTTAAGAAATTTCAGGACTACCAACTACTACTACGCTTTTTGCTTAGTATTTGCACTGTGGTAGATAATTAAGAAGGATACAATTTTCTCTTGAATACTTTAATAAAAACCATAGTAAATAAGAAGGAAAAAAAAGCATTGGAAAAAAAATCTTGAAGTTCGCAACTAAGTTCGTGAAACTTTCACTACGAAGAAGAAAAAATCATACTTAATAAGAAGCATATTAAAATTAAAAACCTATGGAATTTTGTAACTTTCTTTAACGATTCATTTTTTATTCGATAAAGTAATTTGAAGAAACAATTAAGCAATATTTTTAAAAATTCCTTCGCAAAACGCATATTAAATAAGAAACTAAGCATTAAAAAACATAGAATTTTGTGGTTGCTTTTCCTTTCATTCTAAAAAAAACCATTTAGATAGAAAAAATTATTCATGAATTTTCAACAAATCTTCGCAATAGGGAAATCTATAAACATTTCTTAAGAGTTTTCTTTATGTCTTGCACATAAAATACAACAAAATAAGACTTGAGACTTAGCGAAAAATGTTGCAAACTCGAAGTTTAATAGACTCACGTTCTTATAAAAATATGCTTAGATCGGGAAGAAAATTGCTGTAAAGAAAGTTGTGTACTTTCTTACCGAATCTTTGAAGTGATAAAATTGTGCGTCCATTTTTACTTTAAATTAGATTAAAAAAGATAAACAGAAAAAAACACGTGATTTAGTTTTTTTTTTTTTTTTTGCTACGAAAAATCTATAGCTAAACATATTAAGGTCTTTTACACAAATTTATTTTGGTTTAAAATCAATCTGACTATTAAATAGAACCAAGTATCACATTCTGTGAGTCCTTTTATGATTGGGAGTGGTCTTTCTAGTATGCAATAAGAAAAGCTATGATGGTATTTGCGAAGATATTTTATTTCCAATGAGCTTCACAATCGGTCTTGCCGATGAGCAGACCTAGTGCGTTCTCCAGAGGTGGTATCCACTCTTTCAGGACCACCACAATGGGTGAGATACCGTTGGTCACGTTAATTTGGACGTCTAGTTTCTGCCACACTAGATGGCAGCACCGAAACTCTATTTGGATGCTAAAGTGCACTAGGAATTTAATTTTGCCGGAAATGCCAAGAGCCAATAAGGCACTCCAGGGATCTTTTACATGCCGCATAAACATACGACATGGCCTCTGAGGATTACTCACGTTCTGCATCCCGAAAATCCGGTGTCTGGGCCGGGGATCGAACCCGCAGACTTGGGCTCAGAAGGCCGACGACAAACCAACTGCGCCACCCAGCCACATTTGCGAAGATATAGAAGGTGAGAAAGATAAAAAAAAAGGGGCTTAAATATTACTATCGAGACAAATGAGGTATTGTTAACGTGTCTCTTTTTCTCAGTTAGTTTTGAATAAAGCCAAATTCATGTCGATAGGACTAATAATTTAGACATTATGTATGTTTTCTGTATAATAAATAAAATTTTCGACTCACACCTATTCACTCATTTGACAGTGAAATCTAATCAAGTGACTTATTATTTCTTGCATAGTTTTTTACACATTTACCGAATGATTACAAAACAAAGTCAATGAGACTGACAATTCAAAAGTTATAGAAGTTTTTATGCAGACAAAGCACAGTTCTGTACTTTTACACGTCTGAGATTGCTAGAAAGACAAGTGAATTATTATTAGATCTAATGTTTTGTTTAACACTAGATTGAATAAAATCAAAAATCATTAACCGTTTAGAATTTATGATGGTTTTATGCATGAAATTTGACTTTTACCCTTGTATGCATAAAACGCTTACATTTTCTAAACTATTTTCTTTATCTAAGGAAATTTAATTAGATTAGAATTTGACTGAAAATTAATTAATAAAAGTATTAAGTAACCACTACATTAATTGTCTAGCTAGCAATGCCAGATGCTTAAAGATGAAACAGTTAAAAAATTGTATACTGATTTATGGAAAACTCTAATAACTTCTAAACAATTAGATCTATGGACTTGCGTTCGATCTCATTCGATACAATTTAAGAAAAGAACGTCATAAGCAGTACCTTACTTGTCTAGATAGCAATGGTCAAGTCCTATTTCGTTTTTAATTTCTTGGTTGCGGATTGCGTCTATTGTTAAAAAATGACTACTTCAACGCAATCTATATATATATTTCTCTTACACGGCGATAAAAAAAAGCCTTATTACAACTCCCCGAATGGCAACGCTAGAAAATCAGCCAATGACTGCCGCTAAAAATGTCACATGCCAAATCTAAATTAGGTGGCTCAACATATAGCGCTTCTAAAAACGGAAACTGAAATAACCAGAGTGTAAAATATTATGTGCTTATGCGCATCGTATTTTTTGTTAAATAATTTATTTATTATATATCAGTTTATAGATGGTAACGAGAAGAGTTTTGTGGTTGCTATGGTGACTAATTAGAAGGTAAATTGTTTTTTTGAGTGAGTGTGAGATTTGTTTTTTGGAACTGCGATGCTGTAATTTTATTGTTTAGTTAATAAATCTTCCTTTTATATTAAACGTGATAGTAGTTTCCTTAATTATTTGATTCGAAGTCCTTGGAGTTTTATTTGAGGTCAGTTTATTTTGTATTTTTTGACAAGAGAGAGCATTCTCACCAAACGAGATTTCTTCCGAAATTCAATGTTTTGTTTATGCAGGGTTTTTCCATTGCAATTTCTCTTATTTAAATTTTTAATAGACTTAATTATAGCCAAAATTTTAACCTTTTTAAAGAGATATCAGTTTTAGAAATTTTATCTTAAGATTTTATACTATAGCACATTTCTAATAGGTTTAACGAATTACATGTCATTTATTTGAATTCAAATTAATTTTAATGACATAGTATTTACTAAAAAGATATAATTATTTTTTAAAAAAAAGTTGTTATATGGATTTGAATGATTGTTTTGAATTCTTAGAATTTTGTGCATTTGCAATGTATCTAAGTTAGTAGCGAGCGAAGCGAGCTTGGTTTGCGAAGCAAACCATGTAAGATTGCGTAGCAATTTCTGGGGGTTGGCGAGCGTTAGCGAGCAGGGGGCACTGCCCACTAGTTTATTTAAAATTACATAATTTTTACATTTCATTTCTCCCTTATTAATTACCCTATATTTGGCTTAAAGACTGATTTGAAAAAGGATACATTTTTGTGCCGATTATGAAAAATCAAAACAACTAATAGTGTGTATTGTTTAAATATCATTGAATTAAATGTTCGTTTAAAACTGATTTAAACGTTACTTTCTTTTTAATGGCGGAAAATTGTCAATCAATCTGTCATAACCACATTAACAAGTCGAATAATTACGAACAAGGTGTTCTACTAAAATTGTAAAAGCAGCTGGTATGAATCAAAAAAAATTTTCTGAAGGATTAAACTGTCCTTAACTACCATAATTAGTTCAAATTTACAGTAATTATTTATGTCACAAGGATGTATACTTATTTTGATCAGCTCTCTTAATATAAAGGTTCGGAACTCTTTCCAAAATCCTGCATTTATCCATACTGGGCCGATAATTATTGCAAGACTTACCCATTCAAGCGATCTGTGCAGAATGAATAGTTTTCATGACAAAATAAAGGTTAAAATAAAGCAGAAGAGCAAATAGAATTGCAAAAATGTTTCTAAATTCATGGGATATGACTAGAATAACTTTGTTATGCATGTCAACGAATTCTATCACCAACTTTTTAGCACTTTAATTAAGTACTAAAAACAATGCGTGCTGCGTTGTTTTTCTTACAAAAGTTGTAAAAAAGTTGTGTAAACATGCCATTATTTTAATTAGTAGATGGAAGGTTGGTTGTTGTTCAGAGTCATAAAAATGATACATTCCCCACCTCTGTAAAATGTGCTACTTGATGTAATAACATGTTTGAAAGAATAATGGCGTGAAGTATCATTTATGAACAATGTTTTTGCACGCAAATACGAGTAAACTAGTAGCGAGAAAATTTTATTATTTGATATTCTGTCGCTCGCGTGCAATAAATCATTTCTGCCTAACCAGAAAATTTTATTGATTACGCAATATTTGAGGATGGGGTTCGAAATGTCAGACTTTTTCAATGAGAAACGCTTAAGATAATTAGATATAGCTAGGAAGGTTATTTAATTTTACATTAAAAAAGAATGCCTATGTTACTATAATGTCTTTAAACATCATTTTCCCTGTCCACTCCAAATTAGATGATGCATTTTAAAAGCATTTATGTTCCAAGGCTTTTCGATACAAAAATATTAAATCGTATGAATTGAAATGTTAAACTTTCTTAATAAAATTCGATGTCCCTAAAAAGATCGAATGTGGAGAATTCTTTTAATGCATAAATGTTTTATATTTTCAAACGTTGCGGTTGTAATTCAAACAAATCTGAGTATCTTAATTACAATTTCGCAAAGTAGTGTCTTAATTTTTGTATCTTGTATGTGGTGAGAATTTGCTAACAAAGCGGCGGAACAATTTGTCATCCATTGATTTGTTGCTCAAGTACGATCTAGGCTTTTCGTTTACCATAGATTTTCCCATTGGAATGATGTAAAAAGTCGCATTTACATCAATGATAAAAGTAGTAGAATACATATATGCCTATACCATGGCGAATATTTATTTCCATTATCTACTACTTCAGTTTTGAAGACTGATTTATCCAAATATTAATAAATACTTGAATTATTGATAAATAAAATTTTGTTAAACAATCTTTGATTCGGTGAAAAATTATTGTAATGAATATATATTACTTACAGCACTTTACTTTTTTGTGTTAAAAAAAACGGTCGAATGAAAAGACACCTCATTCATAAATGGTCCAAGAAATGTTAGATCAAATTTTTTATTTTATAAAAAAAAGGAAGCTGTTTTAATAATTTCTTTTCTTCCTCTAAGTAAATGTAATTGCCATCTTGTGTCAGTAAACAAGACCATTCTTTTGAATGGTCTGTGACTTTTTTGAAAGTCATTTTTAGAAGAGTAATTTTTCTTTCTTTTATATAGGTACCATTTTACATTTTCTGATTAAGAACTATTTAAATATAGCAATAACTGATCTATAATTAAAAATGATCAACAGAGTGCGCTTATTAGTTTTTCTCACAACTTTGTATCATGCAGGGGATTAAATTTCAAAGCGGCCTGTCGAAAATGACATCACTGAGAAAGAAAATGGCTGGCGGTTACTTTACTTTGGCTAAAGATTTCGTTTTCAAGTGTGCTCTGGACTTATTTTATTCTCTTAGATGTTTATGTAATATCAGTATAAAGTTTCCTTTCCATGACTTTGACTCTAATAGAAATTAGCACAAAATTGCGCAAATTGTAAATAGTATTTTTATTTTGCACATCTATTATATATAATTCTCTTACGTGGCTCCCTAATTTTGGCTGTATTTCTTCTCCGCCGGTGGCAACATTTGCTTTGTTTTGTTTACCTAACTATTTCTCTTACACGGTGACAAGAAAAGCCTCATTACAACTCCCCGAATGGCAACGCTAAAAAATCGACCAATGATTGCCGCTAAAAATGTCGCATGCCAAATCTAGCTGAAGTGGCTCATCATATAGCACTTTTAAAAAAGGAAACTGCAATAACCAGAGAGCATCAGCTGCGGCAATCTCATACTATTAATCTAGGCAGAAGTGAGTAGTCTTTGTCGATAGATCTCTATTTTAGTATTTTTGTCGAAAGCGCTTTTTTTCACGAATTTATATATTACGAATTTATTTGACGATTTTTGATTTATATCACGAATTATACTATAGCACATTTCTAATAGGTTTAACGAATTACATGCCATTTATTTAAATTCAAATTTTTTTGTAATGACTTAGTATTTACTAAAAAGATGTAATTTTTTTTTTAAAAAAAGTTTTTATATGGATTTGAATGATTGTTTTAAATTCTTAGAATTTTGTGCATTTGCAATTCACATAAGTTAGTAGCGAGCGAAGCGAGCTTGGTTCGCGAAGCAAACCATATAGGATTGCGTAGCAATTTTCGGGGATTGGCGAGTGTTAGCAAACAGGGGGCGCAGCCCACTAGTTTTTAATAATTAAAAGAAATATCATAAAGAAGTGTCAATATTTAGTAATATGTATAATACATTCTAAACATTGGTAACTGTTTTCAGTCACAGTATTTAGATTAATTACTAACTCCAGTAGTAATGTTACTGTTTTCCTTGCCATCAGTGCCTTTTTAAAATTCAGTAAATTGCATTACTGATTTCTAATAGACAGCTGTAATTTACAGCTGTAATGAATAGTCAAATAAACAAATAAAGCAAAACTTGATTCTCTAATGTTTTGTAATTATTCTATTCTTTTTAAAATTTACTAAGAAATGATATACAATTGCAATAAACTTACCAGCACATTTCATCAACCTGTCAAATGATTCTCCCCAAGAACGGACCTCTTCGACAGTTGGTCTAAAATACAGTAAACATGAATGAGTCATTTGCATTTTACATAGATTGATGAAGATTTTTTTTTTCTTCCCAAAAAGTCTGTAAAATGAAGCGGAAATTATTCTAATTCAATGTAATGTTTTTCTTCCGTTTTAGAAAAAAAAAATCAGCAACACATATTTGTCCCCATGGTCATCGAGTCTTTTATGTAAATGCTTGAATAGTTTATGGGTCGTATTATTGGTAAAGAATCGGACAGTATAGAGAGGGTTTTGGATACCAGTTGTAAATTATTTCTGCAAAAAACGTAGCATTTGAGAACTATGCGCTTACATGAAATCATAAAATTATAATTATATCGAAAAGAATACAAGTATTAAAATTCATAATATAGAAGAGGAAAATATTTTTGTTTTTATTTAAAGAATCAATTTTTAGTAGCTGTAAAGACACATATATATATCACAAATATAGACACATATATAGACACATTTGTAATCAACATCCAATATTTATTACTCAGGAACGAGTATCAATGTAATTTCAACTCAATTAATTAGGGTTTGCACGTTGCTATAAACATGAAAACAGTCACACAATTTTCAATGTAGACAAATTTCGATTTTTACATGCATTATACTTTACTTTCGAATTAAAAATTTAAAACCTTAAATTTTTCAAATACAGCTTGGCCGAAGTAACTTTCAAAATTTATGTGCTAGTTTGTGATCATGTTGACGAACAAATTTTGCATTGGAAGATGTATCTGTAAATCAAACCGTACGGTGTCAGTGTGAACGCATTGATAAAATGCTGTGAGGTATGGCATTTGAAAAAAAATGGAAAAAAAATTAAAATCTTCACGATATTTTTAAGAAAAATGAAAATTAATTTCAAATATCTGTGAATGTAAGTTTTTATATCCATAAACCTTTCTAAGTTTTGTACACGTGGTAAAGTCTGCTTCAGTAATACCCAAATGGAGGGATGAGATAAGAGAAAAATTGATGAATCGAACACATTGTAGTGTGCCGTGAAGTGCCACCCTTTATTGAAATATTATCGTGCCGAAGTGTCATTTCTTGAACATTAATTATTCGTACAAATATTGAAACACGCGTCTATAAACCAAATATTAACATAAACAATATCTCTTGTAGAGAAAATCCAACTATTGCAGAGTATGCTATAAAAGAAAAACAATCATTAATATCTATGCAACGTTCCTTTTTATAAATATTACACACTCACAAAACGTCCAACAAAAGATTTCTATTCACATTAGGTTTTGTGTCAATATAAAATATTTTCACTCATCAAGCTTTTTAATTTGTTTTATAAAAAACACTTCTAGCCATGATGAGAAACGTTGATTGAAGCGTTTTCTGGCACTCGTCTAGAAGCCGAGAGGAGTGATGAAAAATCACCCTATATTATGAAGGTTTGATAGTAGTCCGTCCGTCCATTATAAGTCATTTTCAAACTGGACATTTGTCTGAAGCCTTTGGCCAGAAGAAGCTCTAAAACAACATTCAGATTTGGGGCTCAATGGCCCAGGGAAGAGCTGCAAATAAATGTCCGAAACCATTCCAGATCATTAGCAGAAATGTTTTTCGAAAAAGCGTTTTAAAAATATATTCGTTATTATATTCCTGAATTTTCGAGGAAATTATATTGAAAGGTATATGATAAAGACATGTTTGTAAAAAACCTTTTAGCAATAAATTCACATAACTTTGTATTAATTTTGCGTTATCTTATAATCAAGCCGATTGACTAAATCGGAGGAAGGGAAAAAAATTATATTAGTATTTTTGAACTAATGATGGTTGAATGCACTTATCGTTGAATGCAAGTGACCGATTGGTTTAATCTAATAAAAGTATATTTATAATGGACTCACTGTGATACGGACTCGTTCCCGTTGTGGTAATTATCGGCCGAAGACGACAACTGATGCATTTTGTTATTCTTCTCTTTCACCTGATTGTGTACTGTGAGACTGCAAAAGAAATACATTATAAATGAAACATATTTAATTACAGGGTTTTATTACAAAAGTCGAAAGTTGCAAATTTTGCACTTGAGAAGTGACCGACTAGCATTCGTCTCCAATTCATTTCATAACTGTTACGTGCAAAGTAAATTAAATTTGCTTTTAAAATTTTTAGTGCTGACATTAATGAAAAGTACTCAGTCGAAGGAATATTCTGCGGTATTTAGGAAAATATTATTTTTGACCATTCCGATGTGCTATTTTGCTTAATCATGCAGAAATATTAAAACGAATTTTATGCTTATCTTTTCGATTGTCCCAAGAGAGTGGAATTTCATAAAAACTTTGGTTAGAGAAAATTTTGCTTTGTGAAACAATCCACTGTTCAAAAATTTCTTTGCAAATTCTTCTCCGTTGCTAGGTAACAAATAAGAGAATGAATACTTTGGTTGATAAGTAACTCTCTGCCTTACTTGCCTTAAACACTGATAAGTGTCTCGTTGTTCCTGTTTGTAATTCACACCATAAATCATATTGAACTAACGTATAACCTCTTTCTATTTCTACTCGAAATTCTTAAGAATCGAAAATAATTTCTCCTTTAAGAAACTTGAGCATTCCTTACTTGCTAGACATGCTTTATAATGGGTAGTCCCATATTTATGTCAGAATTGAATCTTGTTTCAAGTTTAGAATTGAATCTTGTGGAAAATGTGTCACGTTTTTTAAAAAAACGCTTCGAAGAAATTTTTCAATCTACCTTTTGTACTATTGAATAGCCAACTTTTTATGAACCGACCCTTTCAGAAAGTTCTGTTTTCAATATAATCAAAAAGTAAATGATAAAATTAATTCAAAAATCCCACTTCACCACTAAAAAAATCTTTCTGAACCTAAACACTATTCTGACGCAAAATGACCTCCTGCATAGAACCCACCATTTTTCCCATCACTCACGGTTTTCCAGAAACACTTTATAAATCTCTTTTTGATCATTTTAATGACGATACATTTCATTGGAAGGAATAAAAAGGACTATTTTTAAACATCTTAGTTTCTGTTTCAACTGTTCATTTATAAAGCGGGCAAGAATTGTGAAAAATTTTGAAAAAAATAACAATTGCAGCATCGAGAGCCTCTGAATGTTTAATGAGCGGTAAAATTTTTATGAAGGAGATAGAGAGATGAAAAATTCTAGCACATTTGTAAAAAAGAAATAAAAAAAAATTATGAAACGGGATCGATATCCATAATTTCTTTCTGCATTTTTGAACTTGTTTCTAGATATTTAAACAACTATTCCATTCCCAAAACCCTCAAATAATAAAAATATTTTTAAACAGCTTTGACTATAAGCGGGTGATGAGGCAAAATTCCGCGTGAAAGGGGCGTCCTAACCTCCTCCCCTTAACTGCTTTTATGCACAATTTCTTCCAAATATTTTTATTGTTTCGAGATGCTAAAATGAAAATAGGGGCTAGAAATCTATTGAAAATTACTCTTGGCATGGAATTATCTTTGGATAAATTAATTTTACAATTGTAAGCAAAAAAAATTTCAATTCGCTTTATGAATTATGGAAAAGTACGTAAAAAGTGAAATTAACAAGAAAGAGTCCAAACTTTCGACCGCTCTTCTGACTAAATTATTGGGACCCTATTTTCCATATTACCCCCCTAATTTTAGAGTCTGGAATCCAAATCCGTTGAAAATGTGTGTTTATTCAAAGAAAGTACTTTTTTGCGTGTGATGACGTAACCTAAAATTTCGTCTGCACAAATTGCTGTGGTCACTCCCATTAACCATTGAATTGAGTATCGCTAAGCGAAAATCCGATCATTAGACAAAAAGTTAGTCAGGGTTTTTTCGTGCACTATTATTTGGTTGAAAATAAATTAATTTTATTAAATAAACAGATTTTATATCACACTCATACTTTTGTCGTTTTATATGTTAGGTTGAGTTTATTTTTCAATGTTTTGGGAAGTTACTAAAAACCAGTGCAACTTTTTATTTAATATTCGAAAAGAAAATGATTTTTTACCGTAGATTTAAATGTAAATTATGAGTAAAAAAGGAATTCCGCAAAATGTGATGATACTTGTAAGGACATTCATGCTTAAACTGTAATCTTATAAAACAAATTTGGGAATAAAAACACATTATATTTTTATTAAATCATGATAAATGATAAAACAGTTGATTAGACTACTCTAGGAAATAATAATGCCATAAATATTGATACTTCATTCAAACTTACAAAAAAAATCGAAATAAATATGCTAAAAGTGGCTGAAATTTTGCTAAGCGCTAAGTAAAAAAATATGTTTAAAAATTATCAACAACCAGGGCAACCTTAAGCAAATAGAAAGGAAAAATTTGCAAGAACAAAAGATAACAAACTGCAAGCATATAAAACATATATAAGCTATTGAATTGAGAGTTAAAAAAATAAAAGAGAATGAAACAAACTAAATCGCTGAAAAATCCAAAGATTGATTCTAGAAACTAGTGCGTGCCTTATTTACATTATTGCGCCAAATCAAGTTCTGTCAATGAATGAATTATTGCGCTAAATCAATATATTATTGTATACAATAAATGAAATAGTGTTCCAAATGTTCTCAACGTTAATCATTTAATCAGCATTGAAGGTAACCAATTGCGCTGAAAAACTGCTTTGTAACTGCTTGATTAACCCATTTCTGAAATTATTTTTATACTATGAGCCATAATATATTGTTAGAATATATATATCTGATATTTTTCTAAGCTGTTTACTTTTTATTGTTAAAATATATGTATTTAATTATAAGATATATGTATCACAGAAAGATGAATCATTGCAATCGAAAAATGTCATGAAAAGGAGAAATCTCTTGTCAGGGAGAATTTTATTCACCCACAATTTAAAAAAAAAGGGTGGTAATGTCTAGAGTGTCACATTTCTCTACTGCTTCTGATTTAAATAACTTTTTTATGTTTTTGAAACTAATGAAAATATGAAAAAATTTCTCATTTGATTGTTTAACGATAATTCTCGAAACTATCACGAATCATTGAGATTTTTTTCTGTGTTAAGGTGAGTTTTAATATACTTTGCACAACTAAAATATTTTGTCTAGAAGAGATTTTAGTCTGAGTGTTGTTGAAGGAACGTGACTAACAATGGAATGTGACGGACAAAGACTTACCGAGCAAGTTGAGCTCTTTGCTGCAGAAAATCTCGAAACCTAAAAGATACGATAAAAATCATGACACAGGTCATTTTTGTTATAACTTCTATAATTTAGCTTTTGTTTATTTTCAAGAAAAATTGCCTTTAATTTTAGTGCAATTGGTCTACCTTGCGCTTCTGAACTGAGTTCAATTTTGAATGTCATCTAAAGAAAAAATGAAAATGTTTTTCTGTTAAAAATGAAAATGTATAGTTTTGAAGACTTTTTCCCTCACATTACAAATAGTTTTATGAATTAATTTTCTACACTTTATATCATGGAATTTTCGTAAAATTTAGAACATAATTTTAAAAGAAATTGAATCATGAAACCGGAATACTGATAATTTTTGCCAAAGGAAATGATTTAACGTATCTAAAATATAAAAGCTGTAACTAAACATATAAATGCAGTACAATAAGAAGGAAAATAACATATGGACATCATTTTGCAAAAGAAAATAAGAAGCTAAGCATCAGGTTTGCAAAGCATTAAAAAATAAGAATCCCGTTTAACATATACGTATTTACCATTGTACAATCATTAAAATTTCTTCTTTGATTTTGTAAGAGATATATTTTTATTTTAAAGTAGTTTCGAAGAAAAAAAAATAAGTGAAAATAACCCGAGATAACTAGAAGGATAGATAACACATTCGAAGCTCAATAATAGCAGACGCAGGGGAAAATAGATTTTAAGAGATACTAAACAAAAAATCAATACAAAAAGTTAAACATTTAAGACTGTTTCAGGAGCAAACATCTTTGAGTAACCCATTGGAATTGAAATCAAGCACTTAAATCCTTTAGAAGAGAGAAGGCCTCCACTCGTGTTACTATGAATGAAAATTTTTCAGTAGTCCGAACGTTGTGACATCCTTCAAATTTTTCCGCACTGCGCAGGTTATGTTCATAACGTCGGTCTATTAAATCGATCCGTGCAGAGGCCTTCTCTCTTTTAGAAGGTGTTGCTTTAACGTATTGTACTTCAGAGAAGTCATTACATGCCAAAAAAGTATATTAAAGCATCATTGAGCTATTGTCGGGATAGAATTAGGACTCTTGGGCTCGGAATCTTAACTCTATTAAAAACTATATGCATTTTATTTAAAATTGTTTTATTTTGTAATTGAAGAGGAAAAATGAGAAATTTAATGAGAGGTGTAATTTTTCAGTAAACTTTAGCTTTTAAAGTAATTTCATAATGAAAGTAAGTAATATATTCTTAACTCAATTTTAAAACACATTAACCTAATATATCGTTCACAATCAAAATTTTAACCAATAAATGTTAAAATGTGTAATTCAATTACTAAACATTTTTATTGGAGATATATATTCAAACTTTAAGAGATTAAAATGTATGTAAATAGTGAAATATAATTATGTTAAAAGATAAAAAATATCTAATTGTTAATGGGTGAAAAAAAGTAAATTATATGCATTTTACAATATTTCCCTAAAGCCCTCATCACAAAGTACAAAATGATAGAAACTACAAAGAAATTTAGTTTACTATTAATGTGGATTTCATAATACTCTAGAAACATAAAAGATGACTGAAAGTCTCATATTCGCAGGAAAAAGCATGTTACTAAACATAAACATAGGCTCTTTTTAACGCATAAAGAAATTTTTCAAATATTATTTAATGACTCATTTAAACTTTCAAAAGCTTTGATCTACTTAACTAAAAATGTCTTTTTTTTTTCTTTTTTGCGAAAAGCTAGAAAAGAAACTAAGGTACTTCAAAATTCATCTTTAAACAAGGAGCAAAAAGTACCTATAATAGAGCAATTTACGTCAGAGAAGGAGTTAAATATTGAGCACAAATATTCCCAGACATGAATGAAATTCAATACATTTTATCTAATTATTACCAAAATTTTACCTTAAATAAAAACTTTCAACTGAATTTTGAAAAAATAACTCTTCAGGCATGAAAAAAATCATAAGATAAAAAACAGTAATTTTTTGATTCACTAAAACAGTTAGCATTTCTGAAGTGAGAAATTTTGATATGACCGGATGGACTTTAAAGAAGAACTGACCAAGAACAGTTGCAGCAGCAGCAGGTCACACAGAAACAAGATCTGCTCTTCTTGTTCTCCTTCTCCCTGTCGGGATTGTTGTTGTTGTGAGCAACAGGGGTGGAGTTGGTGCTGATCCCCCCGCTGCTTTCCTCCCTGTTGTCCTTTTTGGATGATGGGGAGGCAATGGATGTCGATGGACCAGGATGCCCATCTGCTTCACTCGAAGCAGTGTCCTGCTGCTTCGACGATTTCTTATCTTTCTTCTTGGAGGATTTAGAGGTTTCTTGGAAGCTTGTTGATGTATTGCTGCCACCCTTCGGTGGACTGGACATCTAAAAGAGATTAAAAAAAATAATAATAAAGCTTAAAAATTTCTGCAATGCTTAACTCAATAGTGTGCATCAAGGATTTTCTTTAACCAGAAATGGGATTACATACACGGAGAAATTATATGAACACAATTTCCTTATTTATTAAGCAATTCATTAATATTTTATTCAGCTTCCGTTTCATTTTTTTGGTTGAATTGTGCTCTATAGCATCAAGTTCACAATTTTTAAATATTAAAAATTAAGTAATTTAAATTTTTTTTCAAAGTTCGAAGTTTATATTTTGAAAATACTTCTAAAACATTTCAAAATTAAGTACACTAGGTTTAATAGAATCCATTTCAATGGATGAAAAGAAACCAATAATAATGAAAGATGTTATTTAGTAATTTCATAAATAAAGAAATTATATTCAGATAATTCTCTGTAGGTTAATACACTACTGAAATATATCTTAAGAATTTCATCGAAAAAGTCACTTTTTAAAGAGTTCTTCAGAAATCTTCAGATATTTATAAGATTTTACTTTTTTTTTTAACTATCTGCAGATTTTTTCGTTGGCATTTCATAGTTTTTTTGAAGGTTTTTATTTACCTCTAAAATATCTGCTGGCTTTTTGATAACATTTTTCAATATTATGAATTAGCAAGCAGAAAAAAAAGAGGGAAATTTGTCCTAAAATATTCTTCTGATTAAATAGGACTTAAACATTTGAAGAAACAGAATCCTATATTAGGCCTATATTTTATAGAAAATTTTGAAAATACATTCTCAACATTTTCTGCAGAAGATAAAAACTGAAAGAGTTTGACCCGCTTATTAAGCCTAACTTTAAAGAAAATTAGCGAATTTATTCTGACAATTTTAAATCTTAATTTAAGTCTGATTACTTTCCTTAATCTTAAGATTTCAAACAATACTGTAGATTATTATAAATCTTCAGATTAAATTTTAAACAAATAATTTGAATAATGAACACCTCATAAAACCTCTGAGTTCCTTATAGCTGGGTTCATACTTTAGCTGAGAAGTCTAATCTGTCAGTCTTATGACCAGCTGAAAGGGGGTTCTTGGACGCCACACTATTACCGCTATTCCGTCAACACAGGAAGAGTTTCCAGTGTCCCTGTAACTGTGGGAATACAGAACTATCTTTCTTGCATAGATTAACACAAAAAGAGTATTTTCCCTCTCTCACGATAGATAGCAGTATTTGGAAAATATTTTACGAATTCTGCAGAGAGAATTCATTCTGAGGATTTTTTGTAGGAAATAAAATCTGCCCAGATAATTTGAAGAAAAAATAGACTTAAAGATCAGATACCTTCGCATTTTCTTCAGATTTTATTTAATTTACTTTAAGATAATTTGTAGTGGGAAATAGAATCTTTTTTGCGTTGGAGGGGTTCCCTGGTGTGTTACACAATGAAATATATGGAACTAATGAAAACATTTCAACTGTGGAAGAATATATTCAGTAATTTCTTAAATATCAACTTTAAAACCCGTATGCGTAAATTTATGGAAAAATCCACTGCAAATGTCGCTGTCATTGTGCAATGTACGAGGCTATTTGGAAGTGTCTTTAGTATTTTCTAATCCATTTAATGTTTTATTCCTAATACATTACAATCAACCTATATTACATTAGACTGATTAGTAAATAAGTGAAAACTATTCAATCAGACTGAATTCTCCTGCCCTATCACAATAAACATTTAATAAAGCTATTTATAACAAGCCTTCACTAATCTGAGTTCACGGCAAACTACCAGGCATAAATCAGGCTTATTGTGTAATGAATAATATTTTTTCTAATTAACACTAAAGGTATGTGGGTCAAATGCACTAAGCCTGAAATCATCTGTCTGATTAGAAAACATTGGAGACTTTTAATGGCTCTTTGCACGGAGACCTTCGACAAGATGTCTCGATGAGAGCAGATTATTCACTTAATATTGGTATTTTTGCACAATCATAAAGTGCGCATGTACGAAACAACGCAGATGCAAGGGTTAAGGTTGCTAATAAACCATGTTTACATACTTGACTTTAAAACATAAAATCCAACCTTTTTCTCTTCACGCAAAAATAATGCTGATTCTGAAAACAGTCACATTATGTTTTTTTACTCGATAACATAGGATTTTATACAAGATAAAAAAAAAACATCAGCTGACTCATTAAGAGAACATACATTGAAATAGAAATTGACAAGAGTAATCTTCCATCAAAGGTAGTTTTTTATACATACGTTACAGAAGCTATGTTAAGCTCACTATGCTTTCAAAAAATTTCATTTATTTGCTTTAATTTTTATTTCTCTTTGAAATTAGACTGAAAATAATAACTTTGTTTACTTTTTAAGCAAAATATTTTAAGTTAATGAAAGTATTAAAAGAAAAATAACTACAATTGAATTATAAACAACCTCATAGAATCGATCAATGGCCTTTGAGCAATTCGATAAACAAAAGTTATTTCCTCTTCCTGTGAAGATCAAACAATTGAAGGCAGAAAATTTATAGAACGCGTGTCTCACAAAATATGTACAAAGAATTATGGGACCGAATAGAATCATTTTTAAATGATGTCTTTAAGGCTGATGAATGATAAGTCGAGTGAAAGATTAAACAGAGATAGAATTAAAATAAGCTAACTGAATTACCCAGCAATTGTTAATTGTCTATGAGATAGGAATCATGGTGGGAAACAAACACATCCGTTTCGTTCGACTGATGAGTTATGAAAGCTAAATTATTTTCAAGAGCAATTTGATGACTAAAGTCAAATCTCAGTCAATCCACAAAGAAGAAAAAATCAATCCTCTTTAAAATTTATTATTTTATTTATTTATTTTAAATACATTTTGGTACAAAAACTTGCGATAAAAATTGTATAAACGAATCATTTAACCAACCAGTCAATACTCGAGACGAGGTAGGGGAGTGAAAAATATTTTAGTAATATACCGCAAGCACAAAATAATGGAAACACTAATACATTTTTTCATATTTCTCAAGAAATCCTTTAAAAATTATTTTATAACTTCAAAAGTGTTTAGGTCATGCGATTTCTCATACATATCAATGACGTTTAAAGCTTTTAATGGTTTGAGGGACCGACAATAAATTATAAACTGAAAATAGTGTTTTTAAACACAATTTTGGTTAATATATGCAATAATTGCACAAAATTTCGTAAACCAAACTTAAATATTTATGGAGATAAGGAGATTTTTATAAAAAAACTATTTATTTTATCTTACGATTTTTATATAACTTTAAAAATATTTAATAAAATGTGAGCAATTTAAAATTAATTACAAAATGTTTGCTTCACAATTTAAAAAGATTAATTGAAATTATTTGTGCAATATATAAGTAATTAAAGTAGCTATTTTATACTGCGCTTGAGTGGAATAAATTTTACTTTTATTTCTCATAATTTTGTAATGAATTGTATTTATTAACTAATGAAAAAAGTCTTGATTTGAATACATTAAAAAAATAAAAAGCTTCAAGCAATTTTCTAAGTAGTTTTTGTAGTTTTTAAAAGAAAGTTCAAAATGATAAGGGGTTTTCTACAAATAATCTATATATATCATAAGGCAAAATTAAATAGCAAATAATAGTAACTTAGAATAAACGTTCATATACCAAAATGAGATTTTTTAAGGAAAGAAAAGATACTTTTATGGGGGAGATCCCCAATAATGCTGGAGTCATTTTTGAATCTTGTTCAGTAAAACAAACGGAAATTTGTGAAACTTTTAAAACTTCATGAAGATCCACTAATGGTTCATGTATAAAAACTGGAATTATGTATTCATTTCCAAAAGTCAATGTAAAACATTTGTCTACGGTATTAGAACTCTCCGGAAGAAAATCTAATATTTATGCTTTTCAATGTCTGTATGTACACATTTCATTCTACTGAACGTTTTATGAACAGAATTCATTCCCGAACACATGGAATTCAAAATGTATGGATATCGCTTTTAGACTCTTGTTTGCAGACCCTTATTGAAAAAAGTCTTCTACCCGCACCGACAAACTTTGCAAGAATTTTTCTTTATGGAAAAGAACACAAAATATTTCTACTCTAAAAAAAATACTAGCATTCTAAGAAATATAAATAGTCATAATAGAAATGAAGCGGTGTTTAGTTCTTAAAAACGTATATGAAAACTTCGGATTTAAAATTATGTTTAGTAAATATATAAAGTTTGTATTTAATATCAATAAAATGGATTGTCATATCATTCTTTTGACATTTTACATTTATAAGCTTCAAAAGTTTGAAATTAGTAGGTGTTTTATAATTCTGTCTTAAAAAAATAAGTTGTAAATGATATTGGGTGAAAAAAATATTTTAATTAGCAATCATTACTAGCAAAAAACTTTAAGTGTGAAAATTATTAAAGCTTTTTGAAATTAATGTGGCAGTAAATATTAAATTTCCCAAACGTTTTTAGTTTTAAAAAACACTTATGTAGGTAGAAATACAGGGATGTAAACTGTTTCACTTTCTACAAAGCTTCTATAAAGAGATGCTGTATCACTTCATCAATCATTTTCTCAGTTCGCCGACTTGCGAAATCAAAAACAGGCACGAAACCTTAAAAATGTACACTGTGCTTAAGGGGTCAAAATGGCCTCTTTTTTGGCTGTTTATTTCCATAATTATTTATTTTGATAATCAACATAAACGCATGAAATTTTAATACAATTTAGGAAAAGTCGAGAACCATGAGCTTTGAAGCTTACGCTTATCTTCAAAAACAACATAAAAAATGGCAAAAAATGATCAAAATGGCCCCAACGGTGCTTCTAGTGCTTGTCTTCGAGTACTTAAACTCATTTTCATAGCAATTCAATCAAAACAATGCGTAAACAGAGATGACAACTCCTCCGGATTTGACAAATTTTGTAACAACTAAACTACAAGCTAAAATTTGCAGATTTTTAAAAAGCATAACTTTTAAAAAGCATAACTTTTAA